CTAAAAAATACCAAATTTGATTATCTTTTTACTTTATAATAATGTTAATTCTTACTAATCTCTAAAAATTATCATAGTTTACTAAATATTTATTAAAATTAGTTGACAAAAAAGATGTCAAACATTGTAGATAAGTTTAATTTTGAAAAACTTTATAATATTATTTAACAAATTAATTTAATTATAATGATTCTAATACTTTGTTATATCTTGTGTATTAATTAATTTATAGAAGCTAATTGCCAAGTAAACAGACATAGTTGTGATTTAGATCAAATGCATGTATGATATTGTTTAATTTAATATAGAAGTAAAGATAGTGATGATGGCAAAATATAATAGAATTGCTGTTCTAATAAAAAAAACCTAATAAAACTTGAATAATTTATTCGTATATTGATCTTTATTAATTTGATTGGTTGACGATCACATTTTTGATCACGTTTTGATCGACGTATCACACAAATATCACATTTATTGATTTGATTGGTTAATTATCATGTTTTGAGATTTTTGTGACATACTGGAAACAAATCGATATGTACAAAGAAGTTTTATATCAGATATGTGGAAGTAACGTAATGATCTTCAATGATCTACATACTACACAAGTTATATTTTTGATAATTTAAAATATAATTCTATATTAATGATCAAAAAGGTAACCTTGTGTTTAACCTCTTTTATTACCTAAATTAGGCAATACGCAATTAAATTTTGACGATCCACAATATATGCAACACAAAGTTAATCGATTAAAATTTTAATATTGTGTTAACGATAACATATTGTTTGATGTAACAATTGTCAACTGTAATTGCAAAAAAAAATGCATTGTTTCTTGACCGCATTGAAAAATCGAGTTTGTTTTCGTTTATTTATTTCCTCCATTTTTTTTTTTTTTTAGCTTTTTTTTTTAAAAAAAATTGGTGTGCTTAATTTTTCGTTTTATGCGTGGTTTATATCATATATAGAAATTTCTTGTCGACTGCGATCTGCGTTATTTTAAACACTACCAAGTATTTTTTTACCTTGATGGTTAAAATACTTGTTATAATATTAAATTCTTTTTCATCCTCAAAAAGTATATATAATATTTCCTTATAAAATAATATAATAAATATGGAAGAAAAGTATCCTTATAGGTATAAAAGTCATATAGAACATTTAACAAGAGATTCAACTTTCTCTAGCGTAAGTTCAACTGACGCAACATTAGTCGACGAAGCTATTTCTTCTCATGGAATAAATACTATATCATCAGACACATCCTCCAATTTTCAACATCGTCAACATGTTAATTTCGCTAGATTCGAAAAAATGGTTGATGAGAAAAATAATTTATATCAGGATGGTCCGATCATATGCATAAATGACACACCGACTTCGAATAATGATGAACCACAAATAAGTACGGATCCAAAGAAATCGATTTATACACCGGTCCAAAAACCTCTACCGGTCACCACCAAAACCTCTTTTTTTCACATTTTTCGCTTCGCATCAACATTCGATTTCTTTCTTATGGCTTTAGCTATCTTTTTCAGTCTAATGCGCGGTTTTATTATCCCATTGATGACTATTTTATTGGGAAATATCTTTAATTCATTCACAGAACAACAACTCGGAACAATAACAAATCAAATATTTATTCAGCAAATTAATGTTTCAGTATTGGAATTCGCTTCACTTGGAGTTTGTGCTTTTATTTTTACTACTTTAATGACAGCTTTGTGGAGTTGGACTGCTGAACGACAAGGAAGACGTATGAAGGATGTTTATTTTAGATCTTTATTAAAAATGCCAATCGATTATTTTGAAGATCCTGAGATTACTTCTGGAGGTCTCTTAACTAGTGTTAACAGGTAAGTTATGAATATTTATAATCAAAATTTTTTTTTATTTTTACTAATTCATTTTTATTTTTATTTTTTGTACAGAGATACTGAAAATATTCAAAGTGCTATATCTGATGACATTGGTCATGTTATAGAATACACAGTGACAGCTATGAGCTGCCTTGTCCTGGCATTTACTAAAAATGCTATTCTAACTCTTGTGATATTGGCTTCGATGCCTTTGGTTTTTATCACGTTGGCATATACTACAGCCAAAGCGAATCCATTATTATCTAAAGAACGTGCAATATTTATGAAAGCTGGTAATGTACTCGAAAATGGTTTATCAGCCATCAAAACCATTAAAGCATTTAATGGTGAAGCAAAAGAAGAAAAGAAACATTTGGATCACCTACAAGAAGCAAATAGTGTTTCGGCTAATCTTGCTTGGATTTACGCCATAAGAGTAGGAATGATCCAGTTTCTTATACTTTCGTTATTTGTTCAAGGATTTTGGTTCGGTTCAATATTAGTATCAGAGAAAAAACTTGCCCCGGGTGATGTTCTAAGCATTTTTTATGCCAGCTTGCTCGGTGCTAGTGTGCTTAAAGAAATATTACCCAAACTAGCGTCAATAGCGAAAGCGAAAGATGCGGTTAAACATATAAACATTTTATTAGAAAAGGTGACTCTTATAGATTTAAGAGCATTAAGAGGTTTTACATTAACAGAAATAAAAGGAGATATAGAATTTAATGACGTTAGCTTTTCATATCCTACTCGTCCTGATACATATGTATTGAAAAATATAAATTTAACCATTCCGGCTGGAAAAACAACTGTATTAGTTGGGCAAAGTGGATCTGGAAAATCTACAATAACTCAATTAATTCAACGATTATATGAGCCAAATGAAGGTATAATAACTTTAGATGAACGTGAACTTCGGATTTTAAATATTACATGGCTTAGGCAACAGATTGGTGTAGTAAATCAAGAACCAGTACTTTTTGATGATACCATATATCAAAACGTAGCTTATGGCAGACCAGATTATTGGAACGTAACTATAGATGAAGTTATTGCTGTTTGTAAAACTGCATGTATACATGAATTTATCGAAGAGCTTCCTGAAGGGTATCAAACACGTTTGGGTGACAAAGCAAAGAAGCTTTCTGGTGGTCAACGTCAGAGATTGGCTATCGCTCGTGCTTTAATTAAAAATCCGGCAATTCTTATTCTTGGTAAGTAGATATTTAAGCATTAAATAGTTTCTTATTTTAAATTAACTAATCATTAATCAAAAATTTGTTATATCTATAAAAGATGAGGCATCAAGTGCACTTGATGTGACTTCTGATTCAATGGTACAAAAAGCACTT